TTGTAATGTTCAAAGGTAGTCGACTAGGAATACTATTGGGAATCACAGAGAAAAGAATTATTATGAAGGGTACGCACGATTTCAAGACTAGAATAATGCTCGTAGCCAATAATCATCCTACGATACGCCTCTCTTTCCTCCTCTACCACTTTCCCAGAGTGTCCACCTCGTAAAACCATTTTGAAATAGTTGTCAAGGGTGTAGCGGCAGACAAGGTTGCTGCTGTTTTTGGCAGAGTCAAAAATACGTTCGAGTTTGTCTTCAACTTGAAATTTTGGTGGCAACGATTCTCTCTCCTTCTTAGTTCCTTCCTTTTCTAATTTGTCACTTTCATTGTCCGATTGCGCTTCCTGCCCCAGATCATCTGAGTGCAGTTGGTCAGGAAATCGAAGGATAGAAAGAAAACTCACGCCATTCTCGTGCTGATAGACCCAAATCGGTGGATTTCCTTCTTCATCTGTGACTAGATAGCTGAGCCACACAGGGTGTCCAGACTTTGACCGGCTGCTTGCGCAATCGTTGTAAGCATACTTTTGAAAGAGTCCTTGATTCCAGGAGAAGCGTTTGAGTCAGGAGGGTCGATGCGACTCAGTTGCCGAAAGAGTTGTTTTACAGTGTTGGAGACGGTGTCCATTTCTTGATGAGATAACATGGTTGCGTGGTCAAGGCAAACAGTATGTACGAGTCGGAACCAAAAATTAGGTTCCGATTCAATTTTCCTACGAGGTCAAAGCGTTAAATACCTTTACGTCCGAAAGGAAATAAAAGAGAAGGGGCATAATAGTACACTGCTGTAACCCGGCTGAGTACCACCCCCACTGGCTACCAACACCCTTGCAGTCTTTATGAAGAAGTGATGAGCATGCCATGCACCGATGGCACTTCCTTACCATTCAGAGCGCCGTACAATACATAATCATTAATGTAGTATTTGAACGGTAACTGTCGAATTGAATACTATAGTAGTCTGTATCAACTAGATCTCAGAGTTAATGTAGTGCTACGCGCACTGGACCGAAAGACACGGTGCCCGTGCGGGGCGGAGAAACATGCACGTTAATGAGCTCGCGGCTCGTCATCTTTTGTCAATGACATGAGCTAAGTTAGGGGCATGGTGCATGGTTTTACGGCTACAGTGCAGTAAATATGAGGACTTAATTCAGTCAAGCAACATGACAGCAAGTGAAACGAGGTGAAAGACTTGAAGAGGCTCGGTGTAGTGTTTATTTGATGCGTGAGTGGCCAGAAACATAAGAACACGCAAATCATAAATTTCACGAAATAGATACATGTACAATTTGACACCAAGTTTCGGAGCTTCCAACTCGTCTGCTGGTGCTTAACAATTCTTCTTCTGGATAGAATGAATCTGTCCCGCAATACCCTCAAAGCATCCAGGTCCGATAAAGACCTCAATTAATCCAGAAGAATTACAGTCGGAGTTGGTGAACACATTGAAGCATTGTGTAACACCATCTACAAAAATTCAAAAAGTGTTTAGATGGAATTTTGCAGCAGGATGATACATACCGGTGAAGAACTGGATACTGTCCCAAGGACCACCATTGACTGGGGTACAGAATGCATTGCCAAAGTCAAGTGTGCCGGTGTTAGTACCAGTACAGTCATTGTTGGCGAATGCAACGCCCTCGGATTTGGCATTGACGCTCTGAATCCCTGCCATAACGAGCATGGAGGTGATAGATACAAATGTGCTAGTGCTGGGGTTCCAGCGATGTACACGTCAGTGCATTCGCAAAGTAAATCGATGAGGAAGGTTACCCACAATTTCATCTTGGTTTACCAGATAGCTACCCAAAAGTTTGCTATCGTTTGAGATAATGAGATCCAATATTTATACTCCTCCGAGTGCTCTTAGGGTTATACTCGCTATGGTCAGGAAATGGCCAAACCAAATAGTTAATATGCTGAATGAGCCCAGATGATAACAAGCACGGGCAGTAATGCCGAATATCAATTTTGGGGCCTTGAAGTTAGTTATACTCAACAAAAGATACACGACACGACATTCGGTGATCCCAAAAGTAGCGATACCGAATACCAAATTCTTTTTTATCATACATACTATGTATATCTCTTGACCAACGAGACTCTAGCTCATTACAGTACGCTCAATAATGTGGCGTAGCGGTCAGGGGCACCAAATATCAACTTTTGAGTCGAAGCCAGAGAAAGTGGCGAAACTGCTTTGCTCATGCTCACCGAATGCCCCGGGAGGTGTATATGCACTGTTCAACGATACAAAAAACAACCGAGTTTTCATGGGACACAGACAATTCCTTCCTTCCTCGACACTCAGTGATTTTTGTGACATTATTTGAGTACTGATTCTGCCTACCCAGGTGTGTGATTCTTTGAACGGAGCTTACGACTCACCGCCCTACTAGCTCCGTTCAAAAAAAGTGACTAGAGCTCTGAGAATGTTCCGATGCATGCAGAAAAACCAGAAACGTATAAACCATTATCGAAACTGCTGAGATTACTAACTTAACCAATGGCATATTACTGTGCCCCCGACCTACCGCCCGAGACCCCCGACTGTCACTGACTGTCAGAAAATTGGGCTACTTCAGGGGGGGATTTCGATTGGCACTCGGACCCTTTAACCAAGCCAGCTAGAAACTTAAAAGACATCTTCCAGCTTTTAGTTGTTCGACGGCCGAGCACCCGAACCCTGAACGTATCACGAAACTTGTAAGTAAACCATTTTACTACTGCCAGAGCACAATTCTACTTACTTTATCTCATTACAGTCCCAAGGATAGTTTAAACTTTGTTAACGCAATCTAATCATTGACTATATCACAATTGAGTTCAGAATCGGCCCTCACAGCCTTGCTGAGGGGGGTTTGAGTGGCGGAAAATGAAAATCAGACAGGTACAACCATGAAACTGAATGTCAGAAGGGATCAATGGAAAAGGACTGATTCTGCATGGTAACTTCGCCGCAAAAAGATTCTGATGCCATTTCAAGTTAGGAGCTTGTTTGAGTGGAAATACTTTTATCGAGCATCTCTTCTCGTTTCCAGTATCCTCATGTAGGATTTTTTTTTCCGGGAGGCGCGGTAAGTTGTAAGATTAAGTCAGGAATCATTATCGATAGAGGGGGAACGTTCTGATGCGATACCGCTCAAGTAAATGATACTAGCTGTGCAAAATTCAGCTACGACAGTAAATCTCGTTTGTACGAGCACAACGCGAGGGATCTTCGGGCTGTTTTGATCTTAAATGAGAACGAGTGCGCTGAGGGAAGTGGTAGACACAGTATTTGATTGCTATGCTCACTGTTCAACGGTGGGGCGCATACAGTAAACCGAGTTGGAGCACCTACTACCCAGCCCCAATCGAGATTAGTGTCTGTCACGGCAGTTTTGGTGAGATAGATTGAAGGAATAAAGCACACCAATATAATTGACAGACCGGAGGGACTGACGAACGTGCGGAGCTTTACATCGAGTCTCAGTGACCCGGGAGACATTACCCCCGGACGCATACCAGTGGCACCTGGTGCTGAGATGGAACGATTCGGTGAACTGAAGTCCGTGAGTATCGCAAAAATTGGCAGTGGCATCTTACACCAGTGTCTCTGTTGACGGGCGACTCAATCTAAGCAGGTACAAAACTGGGTACTATCACGTACACACACCGGAGGTGCTGCGGGTATGTTACCAACATTGAAAGAACCGACCTTATTAGTTTGAGGGAAACGAGGTAGTAAACACGGGCCGGGCCAGAAACCTTCGCTCTGCCTCCTGTTGCTATTTACTTACCATTTCCATGCCAAGTTCTATACTGATGCTGCTGCCGCTTGAACGCTTCCACCAGTGCTATTGCTCTCCGAATCTAACCCTAGGTTATTTTTCACGAGTACTTATTGTCCTGGCACTTCACTCACTTCCCCTTTTTGGCGACGCTCACATTGCCTCACAGCATCTGTCCAGGGTCATTCCTGCATGGTCCCTAAGCATTTCCTGGCTACGTTACTACTCCTCTTGCCCTCCCACTCCAGCCTTACTCCTACACTTTCCTTATGAGTCCAGGTAGCACATATCGATCTCCATACGCGCCTACCCTACTCAACCTTTACGTATGCAGAGAGGTGACAGTGCAGTGTAAGTAAGTAGAGGTGTAGCTGTTGCATGTATGTATAAGTATCTCATTGTAGTACAGTGCTTATAGCCTTCTTACAGTGTTTATTGTACAAGTAAATAATTAAATAAACCAAGGAAATTGAAGGGAAGAGCCAGGGGAGGGACGGAGGGAACGGAACAAAACAAAAGGAAGACCAGACTGGGTTTTGACGTTACAAAATACATAGTGACCGCCGCAGGGGTTGAATCTGATTACAACAACCTTACACCATTACCTACTAATTGAAAGGTATCGTAGCAGTGAGATGCGATGTCATTTTTGCCAGCCGGCCATGATTAAACAACGTAGGATGCTTTTCCTTTATTAACTTTATTGCTCTTATGTACTACTTGTTTTTGTATGCAACTTGCGGCCTGAGGCAGGCGATATCGGGAACATCACAAGTAACCAGTGATTGATAGTAGCGATAAGTACTACAAGCAACGAAAATTACTTTTCCCACTGGCAGTTCCGAGCCAGAGTTGTTGTAAGGGAACTTGAGCCAAAGACAAAAAAGCCTCTACAGAATTCGGGAATCAGAACGACCACCCAGGGGTTGAACCTGCAATCTCCTGATGGCGCAATAAGTTTTCTAACTTCGTCTACTACTTATATCGTAGTCAGACGCGATGCCATCCATTTCGCCAGGCGGTCATACTAACAAGCTTGAATAGTTACTTAGGATAGTAGGCGGCCACTACTAGATAGCTTCACGACTTTGATCACCTTCGGCCACATTCAAGCCACATTTACGAATCAAAATTATTGGACGTAGATAAGCAGAAGGAGAATGGCCGAGAATGGCCGAGAGCCGTAAACGCAAAAAGAAAATCATACACATTTCACAGTGACCACCGCAGGGGTCGAACCTGCAATCTCCTGATTAAGGGTTAATGTTGAAAGATGGATCGTAGTCAGACGCGATGCCATTTCGCCAGGCGGCCATAAATTAAAACCTCTGTGTGTTACTCATGCCCACACCAATAGATAAAACAGATAATAATGAATGAGCGAGTGTGAGTTTGGGACCTGGGTGAGCGAACGACTAATGAATGGTTGCCAATTGAGTGAACGGGTGAATGGGTGAGTAAGCGGGTGAGCAGGTAAGTGAGTGGGAGTGAGTGAGTGAATTTGACATCGTTTGATAAGAGCCTTGAATATCGGGAGTGACCCGGTCTCTTGGGCTGGGAGGACTGGGTGATAGAGGGTGATACGCACTAGTATGCACTTGGAAACGAGTGATAGGACATATGTGAATCATGATACGCTGCATACGCATGGTAGATCATGACGGGTAAATCATGCATCGATCGATAGTACTACTACTTAGTGAATAGTCGACATAATCTAAGCCTGGGTACAGTCGAAGTATAATTATTGGTACTTACAGCATCCGAACACTGGTATGCATCTGTACTTATTCTGGATTTGTTCTGTATTCTGTATTTGCTGTATTTGCTGTACAGTGCCGGCGCTAGGTAGCGTAAGTAGCGGCAGGAAAGAAAGCCATTAAGAAGATAAGGAATGCCACTGGCATTCGATAAGTACGTCTACATGTTATTACCTGAGTCTTCACGAGGCTACTGAGTTCGAATTGCGTTGCCAGCCCCTGCCATCCTTCCCGGCGGCTCACCGGCTCCGAGAATCCAGGATCGAAACTTGGAACTTGAACTCTACTTCAAGGTCCAAGGTCCAAGGTCCAGATATTCAAGCTCAAGTTGTGCTAGTGGGTGTTGAGTCTTGTGGACCATATGTGTAGATTCGTAAAGTTGTTTGTGAGCCGGATAAACGGGTGTTACTAAGATAGTCGACCAGGTATCAAGTTAGTACCGACTGACAAGTTTTAACTGGGCTCAAGACTGTGCAATAAGCTACACCAGGACATCGAGGACATCGAATCCAAGCTGCGTTCGAGTTCTGGAGTCCCTTCTCTCGGTAAGTCTCGTCTGGTCGGGGGACTTGACTCTCTTACCACCTCTTGTTCCTCTCATTGTCCCTCGTTCTCCTCTCGTTCTCCTCTCATTTCTCCTAGACTCGTACCATTTCCCCCTTGCTTTCGTTCTCTTCTGCCGGTACCGACGGCCCCAGATCTTTTACTCTGCGTCTCATGTACAATCATATATCCTCTTTTGTATCGTCCTCTCCCTGTATAATCGCATGCCTTAAGCCGTCTTGAGGTTTCTTGAGGGCAGAGGGGCAATTCGCCATCCATGATTCGCGCCACCTCGCTGGGGCTGGCGAGCACTGTACCCAAAAGAAGATCTCGTTGATAGATGGATAGATGGAGATGGATGAATCTAATCTGATATTTTTGTTTTCGGACCCTCTTGTCCTTGGATACTATACTTAGATACATCTTGGATGGAGATAAGGACAAGTTACCTAACGGTAAGCCTACGGGAGCCTACGGTCCGGGGTTTTTTGTCTTGCTTTACCAAATCCCAATGACAAGTTGTTCAAGATTATCGGGCTGGTATTAGTAACCACGCGCCAAGCTTTCCCTCGTTCTTCTCCCGACTAATGACTCGGTTCTTGACTCAAAAGTCGAGTTACTTGAGTGAGTTCTTCCTGTGAAAGCGTGAAAATTCCGGATCCCATTGTCCCTAGAACGTACTTTTTTTGCGTCCACCTGCGTGCTCCCCGCATCTTCGGTTTTCAAAGCCATCTCCGGGTTCAAGTTTTTCCCAGAATATTCGACCATCGGGGTGTTTGTTTGAGGTGTTTGAGGTGTTTGAGGTGTTTAAGCGCGTTTGAGGCGCTTTATTGTGGAGCTGGAGCCGCGTCTTAATAATATCCATCTCCACCGCCCATGGATGGCCCCATCGGGACAACTGATTTCTGAAACCCAAGCAACAAGTTCCATTCGGAAACGAACAGGGAAGGTTCAAGGAAAGGAGAGGGATCTGGAACCTGGGCACATTGGCAGAAGAAAACTCGCTACCGCGTGCGTATTATTGGTGGAATGAAAGGCATTCGAGAAGCTCGAGAAGCCACGGTTGAGTTTTTTTCTGTTAGAGGCGCTTGAAAATGATACATCATACCAAATCAAATCAAATCGGAAGGAGATTTTTTGGAGGCGTCGAATCGCGTTGTAAGTTTCGCACTTTTTTGGTTCAGATTCATGCGTGTGTGGTTGCGTGGATCAATCAGCGTTGAATGAGTGTATAGATAAGTGTTTGTATGGCTGTCGAAAGCGTTTGAAGGGTTTTTGAAGGGATATGAATGGGATATGAATATGTACGAATCAAACCTTTTCTGAAAGGCACGATAAAGTTGAATTGCGGTATGTAAAATGGGTATGGAATATCAGAATGTGAAGAAGGAAGCAGGGGGAGGAAGCAGCGAAAGGTGTGGTGTGAGTGTTTTCTGCTTGAAATGGAAGATGTTCGGACCGAAGAAGTGAATGTTTTGACTCGGGGAGGGAGGGGAGGGAAGGGGTGGGGAAGGAAGGATTTTCCTCTCTCGGTGAACTAATTGTTTTGCAGATTGGCCGGGTGGAACAACCGTTGAATCTCGTCCACTTTGTCGGCTACCCCATAAAGCGCCATGTACGTAATTGGGTTGCGAGCCGCCGGTGGCCGATTTGAAGCCGTTGGAGCCGCTTGATCCGATTGGCCCATCACGGCTGATTGGTCAAGCGTTTGACAGGTACATACAGAAATTCGATACAATAGAAAGTTCAGCAGCACGTTGTGCCTTTTGCACTGCAAACGACACTTTGCACAGATACCCCGCATATTTTTCCCCACTTGCTGTTTTGATTTCGGATTATCTCCGCACTACACGACGCTAGTACGAGAGATTAGCGTTTGTGACGACAAGGAGACAGCAAACGACGCCAACGACGCCAGCGACGACGACGACGACGACGAAGAGATTGAGAGAGACTAAAAAGTAGTATGGCTTCGACAAAAGGACTTGTACGACAAGAAGGATTTCATCCTGAAGGCGGCGGTAGTGACCCAATGTCGTGGAGACCTTCCTCGGCCCAAGGTAGTTTTGAAGGAAACAACAACAGCAACAACAACAATAGTGATATTTATCACGATCTGGCCTCTCCTTCTACATCGTCGGTTCCAATACCTCGACCACACAACATATTCGACATGGGTATCTCCTCGTCGTCTCCTGCATCTGCAGCTTCGGCTTCAGCTTCATCAGGACCAAATACATCTGGCTTTCCCGCTCACTTTAACTCTACACTTCCAGCGCTCAACTCGAGTATGCGTTACGAGCCGTTACCAGATACTTCTCCTTCTCCACCAATCAATCATCCATACGCCAACTTCAGATCCCATTCCCGTTCACAGTCTCGCTCTAGATCTAGACCTCCTAGCGCTTTCAACGCCGGCGGTCCAGGCAGCCCAAATCCAGGCTCTGCTATGAGTATCGGTATTGGTCCACAGAGGACTACACGGACTAGACGTGGAAACTCGGTATCTTCCATGACCAGCGCTTCGCCGCCGCCACATCCGCCACCAGGAATCGTTATTCCAAGATCAGGCAGCGGCGGCGAAGGCTGGTTTGGTCCTGGCAGCCAAGGAAGTACAGGACAACCCGGCGAATACACGCTTCCAACTCCAGAATCACTCCATTCACCAGGTTCATTCCACGGCGGCACTCACGGATTCGCAAATCTCAGCCTAAACGTCTCTAATCTCGGGCTTGGCCCACTAGGTGCCGCTTCTTCACCTCTCAATCAGTACATCACTGGTGGTGGTGGATCACCGATTGGCTACAACTTGGGTACATGGCCTTCAGGAGAGCACAGTAATAACAACAATTCGCATTATGGGTTCGAGCATCAACAGCATCATCATCCCTCGCATGGCTTCAGCCACGGTGCGCAGACACCCACGCCCGCGTCTTTTAACTCGCATTCGCCTGGCTTCGATTCGTGGAATTTCGAAAACCATCCCGGCCGAGGAGGCATGACGCCACTCTCTAGTTCGTTGCCTACAACAGCGTTTATGGTCCTTCCACCTGGCCCAGGCAACCAGCCGCAGAGCCAAGGACCCCCTACAGGTCGTCCTCATGCTCATTCAGTCAGCTCAGGTACTCCGTCGTCAACGACGAGGAGAGGAAAGGGCGATAAGGCGGATAAGGGAGATAAATTGGATAAGGGTCTGTCTATCCCTTCTCCTGGTTACCATGTACCTTTTTTTAATTAACGCCGCTTCCGCTTCAGGTAACTCGAACTCGAATTCAAACTCAAACTCTGCCTCGAACGCGAAACCGCTGACTCCGACGGAAAAGGCCGCGTTACTGCAAAACGAGAAGAGGAGAAGGAGGAGAGAGAGCCATAATGCCGTCGAGAGGCGCAGGAGAGATAATATCAATGAGAAGATTGGTGAACTCGCGACTTTGATTCCGGATGTTTTGTTTGCAGAGGGTGAGTTTCTTCTTGCGTTAGGCTTTCGTTTCGTTTTTGTTGCGTTGTGACGTTCGTTGGTTTGTTTGCGATCTTGTCCTTCATACCTTCGCCATCCCATCTATACCCTTCGTTGAGCTTGGGTTTTTCCTTCATTCGTTGCTTCGCTTTTCTACGTCAATCCCGATCTTCCATCCATCTTTCCTATTATCGATCATCCATCCTTAACCCATCGTCAACCCTACTCACCCACCTTTTCCTCTACAGGCAACGGCACCGGCTCAGGCCCAAGCTCAAACGCCAACGCCTCTCCTCCTCCTCCCAACACCAGCCCCACCAACCCAAACATCAACAACTCCACCACCAACGCCTCCGGCGACCCAATGTCCCCCTCCTCCCCAACCTCGCCCATGTCCCCGACCTCACCAAACATCCCGAACATCCCCATCGGCGGCGGCTCGTACGGGTTCAACCTCGATCTCATGGGGCTGCCTGTTCCAGACGAGTTCTTCAACCAGAATCCGGGCGTGGCTGTTAATGGTCAGTGGATTGTTTTTTTGTAGGTGTGCGTAG